GAATCCGAAAAGGTAGTTCTACTACTTCAATGTTCTCCGACTACTACTAGAGAGTCGCACACTCTTGTTCTACTTCAATTCTCTTTGCTGATGAAGTTTGACAGTATCGGTTTTGTTCGTTGTGCTTCGATCTAGCTCGATCTCTTTGTGTTCATTTGTTCTCCGGTATCGGAAAGTTCGCCGGAGAATTTCCCGGCGACGCAATTTTTTGAGTTTATTGCTTCAGTGAGGTGTTAATCTTCTATATTTGCAGTTTTCAGCTGGACTTTGAGCATGAGGTGTTTTTAGTATTGTTTTCCTTTTTTTGACATTTTCTTTGTAGCTCTTAAGATATTAAATTAAATGTATTTTTGAGTAGCTTCTGCTTCTGGCTTTTAGTTTGATTTACCAGAAAATGATTCTTTGTTTGCTTGGTGTTGTTCTATATTTCTTGTTTCTGGAGTTTCTACTGTAGCTGATTGTGGAGGTATGGAGTGCATATATAGGGTTAGATCCATGAGGTTCTTTTGTGGAGTAGTGACTTCTTTATCCTTTTATCTACTTTGTGTATCTGGGATTATTACAAGGGACAGGTTTTCTTGAGTTGATTAGGTAGCTTGCAAGTCCCTCTTTCAGAAAAAGCTATTTAGCTGCTTTTCTTCATCTTTAGGTAAATTGTGCTTCAATCTTTTATTGGGTTTGCTTCATGTGAATTGTGATGGCTGATTCTCCTTTAATACTGTTTTTGTCTTAGTTACAAGTCTCTATTATTTGATGCTTTCTTAAAGCCTATTTAAGTGCCATTCGCTGCTTTTCTATTATTGTTGAACAACCTGTAAGGTCCTCTGACAGGTTATGGTAAGTACAGCTTCTGACTATTTTTTAACGAGATGGAGTTCGTTTGGCACTGCAATTGACCTTGCTTGGTTTGCATTGTAGGAAATGTCAGCTGCTGTTGTTGAGGGTAATGGTGCCGTCACTGGTCACATAATTTCCACCACTATTGGAGGCAAGAATGGAGAACCAAAAAGGGTGTGTGCCTGATATACATCAGTTTTTTTGGTTATTTTGGAGATTCAATGTTTGTAATTTCTTGGTTTTTAGATACTATGATTTTAACCTGAGAACATAATTCAGATTCTTATCACTGGCATCAATAGTCGTGAGAGTAACAAGTTACAGAAGCTGATGTGATCTTTTTCTGCAGACCATCAGTTATATGGCAGAGCGAGTTGTCGGTACAGGGTCCTTTGGGATAGTGTTTCAGGTTTGTGAGCTGACTTGATTGTAAATTTGCATCAGTATTCTTGTGCTTAGCAATGACCTGATGTTGTTGTCTCTAGGCAAAATGCTTGGAAACTGGAGAGACTGTGGCCATAAAGAAGGTTTTACAGGACAAGCGGTATAAAAACCGTGAACTACAACTGATGCGCTTGATGGATCACCCAAATGTCATTACTCTAAAGCACTGCTTCTTTTCCACGACTAGTAGAGATGAGCTTTTTCTTAATTTGGTCATGGATTATGTCCCTGAAAGTTTATACAAGGTTTTAAAGCACTATAGCAATTCAAATCAAAGGATGCCACTCATATATGTCAAACTTTACATGTATCAGGTTTGCATCTCTCCTTTCTCTTTATGCCTCTTCTGCAACTGGATATTATGTGATTCTGATAAGTTGTTACTGTCAGATATTCAGAGGGCTGGCTTACATTCATAATGTTCCAAGAATTTGCCATAGAGATGTGAAACCTCAAAATCTTTTGGTATGTGAACAAGAGTCCACTTCATTCCTATTGTATGCTAACATCAACCTAAATCTCTATTGTATGTCATTTGAAGGTTGATCCTCTGACCCATCAAGTCAAGCTATGTGATTTTGGAAGTGCAAAAGTCCTGGTATGTTTGTTTTTTCATATATTATTACATCCTTATAAGTGCTGCATTATGCAAAGTTTCTTTGAAGGTGCCTTAGCGTCGTGATAGTAGGCTGTTTTTCATGTGCTTGACTGCACGAATGGGCGCTGATTAAGGCACTGTCTGAAGACATTTCAGTTTTTAAACATTTGATACTTTTTGACCCTTGGCTGTCAGGTTCTTACATCTCTTGTTTGCAATTGAAGAGAAGTTTTTAACCAATACAATTAGGTTTTGACATGCGAGTCTGGATGTATTTTTACTATTGACAGTGGGAGTGAGAGCAGAACTAGTCCCTAGCATTTCAGAATTCTTGCTCAAACTTTTTTTTCTTTTTTTATATGGCTTCTCATGGAGAATTGTTTTGCACATAACATAAACTGAAGCATTTCATTTTGATGCATTTTGATACTAATGAACTTTTCGATGCACAGGTGAATGGTGAAGCAAATATTTCGTACATTTGCTCTCGCTACTACAGAGCTCCAGAACTCATATTTGGTGCCACAGAATATACAACATCAATTGATATTTGGTCAGCAGGCTGTGTCCTTGCTGAGCTTCTTCTGGGGCAGGTTTGTGTTATTTATCTTTGTTTGCAAGTCGATAATTTCCATCTATTACTTCATTGAAGATTGTTACTTTATTGAGCTTTCATCAATCATAAACTATGACAGCCGCTCTTTCCTGGCGAAAATGCGGTAGACCAACTGGTGGAGATCATCAAGGTGTGTCTTTATACTTCATTTGGACATCGTAGTAAATCTCAGACAACACTTACATGGATCTCTTTTTTACTAATGAGAAACCTTGTCACAGGTCCTTGGTACTCCTACTCGGGAAGAAATTCGATGTATGAACCCAAACTACACAGATTTCAGATTCCCACAGATAAAAGCTCATCCTTGGCACAAGGTATTGTGTGTTATTGTTATATTTTGATAGTTATTCTGCACTAGATCATTTTCTTGTTGAAATATGTGTACGTTAACTACCCCTAAAATCAGTTTTAGTTGAAAAGAGATCTAAAAGTCTTCCGTGGTTTCAGGTATTCCATAAAAGAATGCCTCCTGAAGCAATTGATCTTGCCTCACGGCTTCTTCAATATTCACCAAGTCTTCGCTGTACTGCAGTGAGTTATCTCCTTTACAAGTGATATTCGTTGTTGTTATTTCATCTAGAAAACCATTTGTTGTATCAGTCTATTTACCTACTTCTACTCCTTGCAGCTAGAAGCATGTGCACATTCATTCTTTGATGAGCTTCGTGAGCCCAATGCCCGTCTCCCTAATGGACGTCCATTTCCACCTCTTTTCAACTTTAAACAAGAGGTACAATTTTTGAAAGCTTCTTAGTCTATTGATATTGTTATATTTCTCTGTAACTATTATCTAGAAAGTTATCTTTCGAGTTGTTGAATAAGTGTTGGTTCACTAGTTGAATTTACGATTATGTAGCTCTACGCACCCATCTGAACAATTATTTCATTAATTAGAGCTTTTTTTTCCCTTATCCATTATTTGAATGTTTGTTATAAATGAAAAGGGAAGGAGGTATTGATGGTGGAGCGGCACATGTTGTTCTCTTGTGAAGTGATAAATACAAGAAACAAACTATTAAAAGTAAATCCTTTAGTGACGAAGGATTTTCAAAGTGAATAATACAGGAAATTGATGCGTTACATATTAGTTCATGATTTCTTCGTGTTTTTCTTGTTTTCTTGTACTTCTAAATGCATCATGCGTCTTGTCGGTTATCTTCTTTCTTCCGTTGCTTTTGATAATCCATTATCTTTTCCCTCTCAAATAACACCCACTCACGTAATCTTTTGTCCTTCTACCGCTTCAAAATGTGAGACCTAAAGATTGTCTACATGTGCATGGATCCAAGCAATCATATTAACTGTGTTTCCAATTATTGTGTAACCATTTAATAGAACTGATTTTGGTGATTGACTGTCATGAGACTTTATCTCGAGTAAAATATGGTTTTAGAAAGTTATCACATGGTAAAACCTTCTATTCTCCTACATTTAGCAGATCTTTAGACATTTTCTTCCACGATCTTTAGACAGTGATTTTGGCTTCTCAGTTACTGTCAGAAATATATTGACCAATTACAGAGGTCCCCGTTATTATGAGGCTGCATTAGATATTTATTCTTATTATTACCGGTTGGACTCTGTGTGGTGAGGCTGGCATTTGAACCTTTCTTTCTTTGCGAGTAAGAGGATCCTTTTTAAATTGATTCAAGAGTCAAAACTTCCCTTAATGCAAGATGTTGGGGATCATGAAAGTTATGTTTATGTTCTGGCTGTTGCTTGCAGTTAACTGGAGCTTCACCTGATTTGGTCAACAAGCTGATCCCTGAGCATGTGTGGAGGCAACTTGGTTTGAATTTCCCATTTCCTGGTGCGACGTAGTTGTACTAATGCAATATAGAGTTGGTGTATCAGAAAAAATATATAGGGAGTCCTTGTGGATTAATGTAACCATGCATTTTGGCTTAACCAGTGGCTATGTATGCACGTAAAAGTTGTATGTGTATAGTCGCTGTTTGTCTTACAAGGAAGTGATCCTGCCTCAACTTATGTCCTCTTTTAGCTAATAGCAGACCTGTTGCCTCTTTTGTACATTGTTTTTTATAAGAAGATTTCAGATAGAAGTATAAAATGATAAATATTGTAATGCCTAGTTAAGCAAATTTCCTTGAGAGAGACCTTCTGAAGCACTAGGACTTGTAGCTTTTGGTTGTAGCTATATTTATATGCAAGTTGTTTTTAGCTCTTTTTATTTTTGAATGCAAGGCATATATGATTTTCTCTTCTGTGCAACCTTAGTTTTTTTTTGCCTTTGAAGGATCCATTGGATTGTTTCTGTCGTTTCATGGTTGTATATTATGAGAGCAAAATTAGCAATAGAAACCAAAGGTTTTAAGAAAGAATGTACAACAACATACCTAATTCTATAAGTGGGGTTTGTAAAAAGGTAGGTTGTACTTGACCTTTCTACCTTTGTGAGGTATCCGATGCAGGATTGTAAGAATCTTATTTAGTTAGTGTTGTGCTTGATGATACATGTAAATATGTAATGAACGCCAAGAGTCAATAATTACTTCCATCCATGACGCCATAAAACAGTAACAATACTTCAAAATGTTGGCATATATATCATGTAACTACGCTGTTGTATATGAAAAACAGCAGTTCCTTGACACTAGAGATGATTAATGTCTGTAATGTACCCTAAAATAACTACAACTCCACCTCGACGGCTGCTAATGACTTCTATCCCTTAAAATGGTTCTATTTATTCCCCCCTCCCCTCAGTACGATTGTTTTAACTCAACTATTACAACATGTTGTGATCTTTCCGATCACAAAAAATGAATTTCCACAGCCTTTCCGTAACTGATTATTGAATCCATGATGTTAAAGCTTAAGCAGATTTAGTAACCTCATGAATAGCGTTTGCCAAGTAACCAACATTTCCAGTAGTAACTCCTGCCATACTGCACCATACAAGAAGCAAAAGAAACAGATTGGGGAAAAAGCAATCAGATATAAATTTGTATACGAATACAGGTGCATATAAGCTTGAACTTGACGACTCAATAATTATACCTGATACGACCATTACGAGTCATGTAGATGTGATACTCTTTTGTCAATCGGTCTACTTGTTCCGGTGTCATCCCACTGTAGCAGAACATGCCAATCTGTAGGAAGTATCGAACATTAAGGGGACAATAGGTGAATTCTTATAGTTACGTACTGTTACAGAAAGTGAAGGAAGTCATTGATCTCAAATACCTGGTTGGTTATGTGTTCCCAAGATAGAGGTGAGCCCAACTTCTCAAGATTTTCCCTTAAAGCAGTTCTCATCCCGATGATACGATCAGCCATGCCCTGGAAAAGAACTCTTAAGTCATTGAACTTTTACGCTTAACATATGATGTTCTGAAAACGAGTACCAAGCTAAAGAGCACCATCAACTTACCTTCACTTCCCCGAGCCATAGATTTTTCAAGTTTGGATCTCCAAGGATGGTAGAAACAACAAGAGCACCATGAACAGGTGGATTACTGTACATGGGCCTGGCAAGTTGCTGCAACTGACTTTTCACTGCCACTGCTTGTTTTTCATCCTCACAGACAACACTGCAGCGAATTGAGGCACCACAGCAAAAACATTGGAAGTCTTTTAGCTTTATCAAGTATCGACTAAAAATATCAGATCAGTGTTTGACAGGAGTCCTTTCTGACTAGTAAGAGACTTGTACACGCTATATAGAGATGAATACGAAGTTTTATAATAACACAATATATGATATATGGTGTAATAAAGACAATTAGTAAAAATACGAAGTTTTATAATAACACAATATATGATATATGGTGTAATAAAGACAATTAGTAAATGTATTTACAAAGTTCAACAGAAAAGTTTTGTTCATTTGAAAGAGAAAATAATAGATCTAGAAACTACATGAAGATGGTAGTACTACTGATTTTGGAATTAGAAGATAATTTTAAAAGATAGATCAACTATGATTAAAAAAAGGTTAGTATTACTCTCTAGATTATAACTTAACAGAACAGTTCCCAGTGTAATCCCACAAGTGAGGCTTGGTAAGGGTGGTGCTTATACAACCTTACCCTACATCTAGTGAAGATAGAGAGACTGTTTTCGATACACCCTCGGCTCAAGATTATAAATAGGCCTTACCCCTACTCTCCAGCTATAAATAGGCCAATTAATATATCATCTTGGGAGTAGTCTTTTACCTTAGGCAACCAACTCTCTGGCCATATAGCCCCATATTTTTTGCATATGATTGGGCATATCCTATCGGATGACCTGTTTCTGATACACCCTCGGCTCAAGATTATAAATAGGCCTTACCCCTACTTGCCAGATATAACTAGACCAAATAATATATCATCTTGGGAGTAGTATTTTACCTTAGGCAACCAACTCTCTGGCCATATAGCCCCATATTTTTTGCATATGATTGGGCACACGCTATCGGATGACCATCCTCAAGAAATATCCTGATTGCCTTAGCATCCTTCTCTGGATACCCACTTGCAAATCCTTGATAGGCCATATCAAACAAAGCAAAATGTCCCTTCACCTAGAACCAGTGCAATAATTCAATATGAGACTTATGACAAGAAAGAGGATAGAAATATACAAGTCATTACCTTGAACTGGTGCGAGATCTCCCTCCATTGTTCCTCTGTCGGATCCACCCCAGTAGGATTATGAGCACAAGCATGAAGCAGAAAGAATGATCCTTTTGGGGCATTCTATGTAAAATAAAGTTGTAAAAGGTCAGGATAAATAATGGCTATCTGAGGAAAAACATCATATCATGAAACAGGGGAACCAAAGCATCAAAGAAAACATCTCAACAGTGTGTTTTCGTACCTTTATATCATCCATCATTGCAGCAAAGTCCAAGCCCTTTGATTCAGCATGATAATAGTGATATGTTCTCTCTGGGACATGAGCATCTCTCCAAATGTTATGATGACTGTCAAGAATTTCATATTAGTAAATATCAGGAGATTAGACATTTTTGAAGTCATTTACAAACTAATGTTTTACTGTGCAAAAACCAATCTAGGAAGATCAATCAAGAAGCTACAATGATGCATCAAATGTACTTACTTAGACCATGTAGGAACAGGAATATAAATCTGTGAATCAGGACAAAAGCGCTTTTGGAAGTCCGCAAAAATTCGGCATGCGCCAGTTCCAGATAATGCTTGAATTGCAGCAATGCGTTTATCTTTTATCAAGTCTGAGTTCTCCCCATAGGCTAACTTCAGCGACTCCTGGATCATGTTGACACTACCTCCCATAGGAAGATATTCCCTGGTAAATGATGAATCGTCCTTGTGAGCATGTTATTGAACTAAAAGATATCCACATAAACCACCCTGGCCTTTTTTTAGCAATGCTGAAAACATTTTGATTTTTACTTTCAAATTCATTGTCATGTTTCCACATAAAGCATTTTACTCCGTGTCAATTAATCCAATAGATTTCTAAAGAGTGAGGACAAAATCAGAACATTTACATAGAGAAGTTGCATAGTACATTCTACTTTAGGACACTACAAAATGTTTGACAGAAGCAGTTTTCAATTTAAGAAGTCAATACATTTAAGCTTTCAATTTAAAAAACCATTAAAAATTATTTTAATTATTCTTCTACCACAATGAATAAAATATACATGTCAAATAAAAATGTATGCCGTGTCTAGTCAATTAACTTCGTAAAAACAACAATAACAGATCTTTTCAAAATTAAACGCCGCCATTAGACTGTGGAATAGTAAATTTGATATTAACAATTCATCTTGGCAGAAAGGCTCTACAAAAGCATAAGATAGAATTGGTGAAGGGATCCATCTCCCCCATCCATACATCAGTAAAAATGAGAATATAAAAGAAAAGTATCATCAAGATGCCAAAGGAGAGGGAGAAAACCTAAAGAATCGAACTGGTCAGTGGAACTGACGGGTGGAACACTAAAAATAGATGCTTTATTATACAAATAACCAACAACAAGTGGCTATAGCAAAAGAAAATAAAGAACAGTCAGCACTGTAGAATAGGGGTGTTCACGGGGAGGTTTGATTCAGTTTTATCAAAACCAAACCAAATCAACTATATAGATTTTGGTCAGTGCTTTTATCTGGTTACATGAATATTATTGGTGTTATACATAAATTTAATAAATCAAATACATTTTATAGTAATTGACAAATATATGTACTATTGATCACATGATAGTTATTTTGCTAGTCTAACAATAATTTTTCAATGATATACGCATTCAAACTTAACAAAATTTTAATAATTAAAAACACAAGTCAAACTTAAATAATGTATAACGACCTTTCAATTTGAAGAACAAATTCAAATTCCCTTCCTAGAGAAGAGGGAGAAACAAAATAGAGAAATCGTGAGATTCACTCACATGTTGAAACCGCCAGCGATCCTTCGCTCTGCTTCTCTGACACACTCCAGTACCACGGGTTTTCCATTGTCATCCCTGTAAGCTCCCTTAAAATCATACACACACAAAAAAAAACTCATTCGTTTTTGCTTAATTAGATCGAGCTCAAAAGTAATAAGATCACACAGGAATTTCAAATCCAGATCATGAGATCCACTGTGTGAATCCTCTGCATCATTTTCAGCCGACGGATGATTATTTTACACTAATCAATCAACTTATGTAGCTGACTATAAGATTTACAGCAGTTAACCTTCTATTTAATTAATCTAAAATCACACAAAACAAAACAGAGCTAAGCATACACAATTACCAAATTAAGAAGTTAAATCCATGATAACAAAAACTGAGAAAACAAGGTAGAAAATGAAGCGAATCAAATCAAAGCACAGAGCAGAGAACTTACAACGCCAACATTGACTTTATCAGGGCTAGGATCGGCGAGGAAAGCTTCAGTAACGCCGAGGATAGGATCTTTAGGTGCCGGCTCAACGTTCCGCCACCACGACGACAAGGATCGCGCTCCGAGCGACGACGAGCTAAGCTTGAGATGACTACCGGAAATCGCGGCACGGATCGCCATGGCCGGAGCGGAGAGAGTATTTAGAGAAATGGGAGAGGAAAATGGCGTGTTTGTCGAAGTGGCTGATACTTGATAGAGATGGACTTCATATATAGGAGACGTAAGAGCAGTGGACTGAGCGAGCCGTCAGTGCGAGTGAATGGTTTATTAACGGCTTTTGCCTCGAAAAGCGTAACGCTGTGACTAAACGGTAAAAGACATTTTCGCTTTGTCTTAAAGGTTAGGGGCAAAAGAGTCAAATAAATTTTAATATAGTAGTAACTACTATAATCTACCCAATCTGCCAATATTTATATTTAATTAATGCGTCGTAGATAAAGATAGTCAAATTTGTCATTTTCCGATTATTCTGAAAAATAATTACTCCATCGTTATCTAAACTATAGCACATAACACATAAAATAAAAGACATAATATATATAGCTTTTTAATTTGATTTTAGCTGATATTTATGTCCTTCAATTTTAGATTTATACAATAGACACAAATGTTCTACCTAACATAATACATGTAGAACGCCTTATAAGACAAAAAAATTTCATGTAGGATGAATGCATCTATTTATTCAATTTTATACAAATTTAAGTGTCTACTTGTGCACATTCAAAGTTAGAGGGCGTATATATTATGATTTATGCCAAAATGAAATAAGGGGTATTGTTTTGGAATTTTTAAGTTTCACTTCCAAAATAATTATTATAATTATTTTACCATTAAAATGAATTTAAACATTAATCTTTTTTGAAATATTAAAGCTACATAAAATTATATGAAGAAAAATTATGCATTCAAAAGTATTTTAATTAAATTCATAATGAAAAATCTTATTCGACTCTTAAAATAAAATAGCATAAAGTGTGACATTAGAATAATACCAGACTTAGGCCAACAAAACAAAAATTAGACTGCTGATATAGTTTGTTGCATGTTAGAGCTTAGGCTAATATTTTGAAGATGATTTTTTTTTTTAATTTTACCTTTTTAAAGAAAGAGTCAATCATAAACTGAAATAAAGCATAAGTTCAGCAATTATTATATGACCCCTAAAGGGTAGATAAATTAGTCAAATATTATTCCTAATCAGTTACTCTCTCCATTCCTTTTTAATTAGTATGCTACGTTTTTTGAGAGTCAATTTGACTAACTTTTAAAGCTAAACTAGATTATATTAATTTGATATTTTAAAATTTAAAATTAGATATTTTAAAATTTAAAATTAGATATTTTAAAATTTAAAATTAGATATTTTAAAATTTAAAATTAGATATTTTAAAATTTAAAATTAGATATTTTAAAATTTAAAATTAGATATTTTAAAATTTAAAATTAGATATTTTAAAATTTAAAATTAGATATTTTAAAATTTAAAATTAGATATTTTAAAATTTAAAATTAGATATTTTAAAATTTAAAATTAGATATTTTAAAATTTAAAATTAGATATTTTAAAATTATATGAAAAATATTGCAATTTTTTTCATATCAATATAATTAAGAAATTCATCTTAAAATATCAGCCAAAATTTATATTATTTGACTTTCAAAAAGGAAACCATCACAACTAAAAAACAAAAAAAAAGAAAGTAATTAGCAATTGCTTTTGATCAATAAGGAATTGAAGAGACAGAAGACACCCACACATAACGTTGTCAAGCTCTTGATTATCACGAAAAGTTGTAATTAGGGAGTTAAAAGGTCAATTTCTTTTAAATTACATTGTAAGATTTTTTTTTTATATATATTTACTTTATTATACTTTGAATTTCGAATAAAATTTTGATTGTGAGAAAATGATGAGTACTACCATTTTATTCTTAGTTTAATATTTTTATCATGGATTAGAATATTAAAGGTGTCAAATTCAATTGTACAAACGAGTCATTTTTTATGTATTAGAAATGATTTTAAAATGTCTTTAACTTCATGTGATAAAGTAATTTTTAATGAAGCATATAAATTTTTATTGTATAAATCCTTCAGCTGAATTTTATATCGGACATATGAAATAAGTTAAACGATAATCTAAAAAAATTATTGATCAATTAATTAAACACTCAATAATCTAATATAATTGATTGATTCTTTTATTCCAAATAAATTTGGGAAGGCAAATAAGTGTTTGATGTGAAATTCAAAATTTAATAAGAAGTGTAGTTACGAATGTTTAGTGAGATAATATAGTTTATTATGATAGTGAATAATTCAGATCGAAAGGAATCCTACTAATAATCCTTATATATTGTATTGCGGTACCTATTATATATTGAATTGACGATTTGATTTGTTGTATTAAATAAAACATTCCATGAATAATTTTTTATAAAAAAAACTATTTGTTTTGTTTATAAAAATACCCTCTATCTTATTTAGTAGGGATCTCAAGGGGATATTTTTGTCATTTTATTATTTATTCCGAAATAGCTAATTCCGATATTATTTATTCTACCATTGACAATGATAACTCATCCTAATATTTAGAGCTGCCAAAAAGGGCTGACCCAAACCTTGCGGGCCAAGGAATGTGAAGGGCTAGGCTGTGCCGACCTTTCATTTGGTAGGGCTTGAAAATGCTCAACCCAACCCAACCCTAGAAGGGCAGAGGGCTGGGACGGGCTAGCCCTTTTTTTCTCTCTTCAAACTTATAATTCTATAACATCAAGAAAATGAGAAGTTTTTCTAATCAAATATGGTAAACAATGGTGTTGTTTCAACAACACTAGCAAAAATCTAGTGTAATTAGCATGTATCTCGCATACCAGATACGCGAGCGAGATAAGAGACTGACAAGCAAGATGGAAGGGAGGCGAGGGCGCGAGATTTGTATATGTATCCTAGATACATGTGAATCTACTTAGATAGTATGTATCTAGAACAAATTAACCTAATTTTGAGTCCATATATTCCGAGATACATATATTTGGGTACGAAGATTCAAAATATTACAACATAACGTGTATTCAAATAATTAGATTATATACTAGTGAGACTATTGTAAATTACTCTTAAATAAAAAGTTTTGATCCATGGGTCGACCCCGCTCCAGCCCCGATCAAGCCTCAAGGGCCAAGGGTTTATATGGGTCGAGCTTACAAGCCCTAGTTTAAAATGGGCTTGAAAAATCATATCTCAAACCTACCCCAATAAAAGATATAATTGGGCCGGCCCCATGGACTAAGCTCATTTTGACGGCTCTACTAATATTAATTATTAATTATATTATAACTTATTTTAGAATTAGCAACCAAATAAGAAATAAAATAATATTAAATTTTTATCTCATAACTATTTATGCTTAATTGCTTATCCATCATATAATCAAACAACATCTAGAGATTAAAACACTAGAACTTGCCTATATAACTTTGTATATCATTTCCATCACATAAATAAAGGGGAAAACTACATAAATGGGTCATAAAATCCAAAATAATTACATGTTCATATCCAAATCAAAAGTAATTCAAAAACTACTCATTCTCTCATAAATAATTACAGTTCACACCCTCCTTTCAATAAGGCTGATAATTTTCGTTTAACATATACTAAATCAGTATCATATACTGTATTGACATCATTAAGGCTGATAATTTTACTTAACTGATACTGAATCGGTTTTATATATATTGTATTGGTTTCATTGAGGTTTCTTGTTCAGAAATTACTTATTGGTCAATGATAATAAGAGTATGTGTATATTGTTGTGGTATCATTGAAGTTTCTTGTTTAGAAATTACTCATTAGTCAATGATACTATAACAATATATGTATATATATACATATGGTATCATTAATGTTCTTGTTCCGAAACTACTCATTAGTCAATGATACTATAAGAGTATATATATACTCTTATAGTATCATTGACTAATGAGTAATTTCTAAAGGGATAAGAGTCTGAAAAATACCCCAACTTTGGTCGAATTTGCTGTTGCGATACTAAACTTTCATAAGGATCTATTACCTCCCTAGACTATTTAATACCGTATTTTTTACCTATGAACTATTTAATAGTGTATTTTAAAGGTATATATGTGCCCACATTGGACACTTTTACTATTTTATAATTTTTGTATTATTTTTATGTCCACGTGGACAAATATATATGTTTAAAATACGGGTATTAAATAGTCTAGGGAGGTAATAGGTCTTCATGAAAGTTTAGTATCACAACAACAAATCCGACCAAAGTTAGGGTATTTTTCAGACCCCTTATCCCAATTTCTAAACAAGAAACCTTAATGATACCAATACAATATATATAATTGATACTGATTTAGTATCAATTAAGAGAAATTATCAGCCTTAATGATACCAATAGAGCGAATTAGTTAGGGGGTATATAGTGTAATTATTTAGTGGGGTATCAATGTAAGGGGTATATGTTAGTAATTATTTTGTTTTTATGGGTATTTGCTTAGTTTCCCCAAAATAAAGCTCATACAATGTGTTTGTTTGATAAATTGAGAGAAAATAAGGATTTCTGATTAAATAAATAATAACAAAATAAAAATAAAAATGAATTATCTCTATTGTGTTGAAACTTAATAAGAATCATATGTTACTTATTAGGATAATTCAAAAACCTCCTTCAAAGTATTTTACGATATTATGTTTACTTTTCTTATTTTGATTTTTTTTTTTAACCATTCTTTAAACCTATTTAAAATAAATATAATTCAAATATAACTTGACAAATTTGTCCCTCTTTATAATAATCCATATTATTTTTTAAAAACGACTTATTTAATAAGTACTTTAAAATAAATCAACACAAATAAGTTAATACTATATATATATGTGTGTGTGTGTTCTTTTTTACCAAATAAAGATACACATTGCTTCATAAGTAATTTATTTTAAAAGTATCTATAAAATAAATCTTTTTTAAATAATATGGATTAATATGAAAAAGTTAATATATAGAGGAACAAATTTGTCAAATCATAATTAATTTATATTTATTTTTAATAGGTTTAAAGAATGGTTACAAAAAAAATCAAAATAAAGAAGGTAATCATAATATCGTAAATTACAGGAGTAGTGAGTGTTATAGAGCAAAACCTCGAAACATCTCTAAAATTATCTAAACTTATTTAACATGTGGCTTGAAATTTTGTTTTGGTATCTTCGTTGTAAAATTTGATTAATATTTCT